CACGATTGTGAGAACGGCTTCGTGATCGCGAAGCACATGACACCAAATACAGCAGAAACTCAAGAAACCAGAAACTTTCTAAGTTTAAACCACCCGTAGCCTATCCGAAACTCACCCGAGCCCTCGGGCTCCAAACCAAATATGCACACAAATCCAAAAATCTCATACGAACTTGCTCACGCGACCAAAATACTAAAATAACACCTAGAACTACAAATCGGACACCAAATCAAATGAAATTTTCAAGAAAACTTTAAAACTTCTATTTTGACAACCAGACGTCCGAATCACGTCAAACTAACGTTGTTTCTTACCAAATTTGGAGGACAAGTCATAAATATAGTAATGAACCTATACCGGGTTCCAGAACAAAAATAGGAATCCAATATCAACAAAGTCAAACATTGGTCAAACCTTTAAATTCATTAAACCTTTAAACTTCAAATTTCCGACTAAAAGCGATAACTCAAGCTAGCGACCTCCGAATTCGATTTTAGGCATACACGCAGGTCCCAAATCACGATTCAGACCCACCGAGACCGTTAAAATACGGATTGTTTGCTCAAATTCTTGACCGAAGTCAACTCAAATGGATTTTTAAGACAAAATTTCATATTTTATCAATTTTTAACTTAAAAGCCTACCAGAAAACGACAAGGACTGCGCACGCAAATCAAGAAAGGCTAAAATGAGATATTTGAGGTTTCGAAACACATAATTAGGGTTTAAAACTCTAGATGACCTATCGGGTTATTGATCACGCCCAACTCTAGTCCTAAAAAGGATAAGTGGTCGTTGCAAATATAATCCGGTCTAAAAGTCCGGAGTTGAATCCCACAGAGAACTAACGCTTAGCTGTATCTGTTTAATATCACCAAGAAGACAAGAAAATAAATAAACAGCTGAAAACTAACTATGCTTGAATTGTAAACAATTAGAATAAAGGTCTAAGGTAATGGTTTCCCCCGTTGTTGATTTCCTTGGTTGTATGTTTCTTATAGCGTTGACTTAGTTGCCTCTATCAATCATGAACTCTCCAGCTATCATAAATCTCTCTCAAGCAATTATGATAATTTACTAGACGCACTCTCTCAAGCTACGCTAGCTAGATTCGCATTACAGTTCACTTAGATCGCACCCGAGGTATCGTTATCTCTTATCCAACCTCTAAACCCTCGGTTATGACTCTCGCCTATACTACGGGAGTGATATTTTTCAAAAAACTACCTAAATATGCACTCTCTCTCAAGCAGATACATAATAAATAGGAACGGCTAATTGAGGATCCTTTCAATTAACCACAATCAAAACATAGTTGAACAAATAGAGATTAAACTAATTCAAATCTATATTACTTATAACAACCAATTCATCCCCAACGGGTTTCACCAAAACCTTAGAATTGAAAAGTTAGCTACTCATGAAAATAACAAAAATCACAAAAGAATTCATATTCAAAGGTAAAAGAACAAAGAAGAAGATTAAAGATTGATGCCCAATGATCCTCCTTGCCTCTTGCCCTTCCTTCTGATGTTTTTCACTTCCAAAAATCATTCTCTCCTTTCTTGGCCGGCTTCCCTCATTTAATATAGGGTTTAGGGCTTAAAATTCCGTGTTTTGCACTTTGGTCCCTGAATATTATGCGTCCTGCCGCGGTCCTACCGCGGTTACGCCAGGACCGCGGCCAGAGTGGCCTTCAGAATCTGCAGCAGTGTTCTGCCTCGGTCCTACCGCAGTTACGCCCTGTTCCGTTTGAAATTTAGAAAAACGTAAAACATGAAAGTTGTAGCCCTTTGAGTTAGCTTTCCAATCATATATTGTGAAGTCCAAATGGAGTTCTGAGAAAAAAGTTATGTCTATTTTATTAGATAGTGCGTAACATGCCTCCTCGAGTCTTCGTTCGTACTTAATTATCAAATTTGACCCCCGAATACGATCCCGGCTTAATTCCTTGGGCTTTTACTCAGACTTTAAAGCTCTAAATCACTTGAATTCATTCCATAACATCTATATAGCTCGAAATCACTCCTACAAGGCATAAAACACACCGTTAGTGCAAAACACTAGCGATTAAAGCGCAAACTCAACTAAAGTGCAGTAAATTAGAGTGTAATAAGCGACTAAAATATGAATTATAGCCTATCATCACATACCCATGTAAAAGAGTTGCTACTACCATAGTTCATCGTCCTATTATTTTACAAACTACAAAGACAAATAATGAAGGCTCTTTTACATCTAATGCTTTTGAAGGGGGGACTTGGAGTACTTGAATCATTCAACAGTGGTTTTTTTAACTATTGATTTCATGCATTTGGGGTGAAATTAAGCTCATTCTTTTGGCATGAAATATCTTCAAAATATTCTTCCTTTGTTATCTCCTTCTCCGTTGATAATATCATTCTCTTCTCCTTTCTATTGCAGGGTTCAAAGGGAACATCGTGGACACTGGGGTCATTCATGGAGATTTTCACTAAGGAGTTGAAGTCATATCCATTAGAATATGAGTCAATAATATAAAACAAAGAATATGTTTCTTTTTGATGCATAAAGAAATAAGTTTCCAAAAGTTTTTCCTGATTGTTGCATACAAAAGCTGAAAAGGATGTTGCCTTTAAAAGTATTGTCGCATATCGTAGTGGCCATGCTATTAATACAGAAGTCAATGTTAAGGAGGCAGAGGAGGGCCTGAATGACGTTTTATGTGGTGAGCCATGCAATATTTGAGGTTGTAATCCATCATGATTGAGATGTAATTCTGATAGTTTCTGCATTTCCAGCTGGGAAGCCTGTTCGAGTCTCAAATAAGAGCTTCGTTGATTATATCTTCATGCATGCTTTGGAGGTGGCTCAAAATTACGACTTGCCAATGCAGATTGACACAGGGTAAATAAAAAAAGTATTTTGGAGTAGATGGTTTGACCTAATTTTCTTTCTTGTTACTACATGTTATTTTTCTTATTCAAGATTAAAAGCCAAATGAATGATAAAATGGGATTTGTTTCCAATTACAGTTTTGGGGACAAGGACTTGGATCTGAGGCCAGCCAATCCCCTGAATCTTCGCAATCTTCTTGAGGATAAGAGATTTACTAAGAATCGATTAGTGCTTTTGCACGCATCATTCCCTTTCTTAAAGGAAGCTTCATATTTGTCTTCAGTGTACCCTCAAGTAAGATCTTATTTATCTAAACTTACTACGTAACGTGCATGTAGTTCTGGTGGTGAAGATTATATACTATTTTTTAGTCTCCCTAACATGGTAAATATCTGGTTTTACAGGTCTATCTTGATTTTGGGTTGAATATTCCTAAACTTAGCTTCCATGGGATGGTATCCTCGGTGAAAGAAATTCTAGAGCTTGCTCCTATGAATAAGGTCATTCTTCTACTTAATGATACATGAAAATATGGCTGAATTATACGCTTAACTTTGTCAAAAAAATTTCATTTAGAAACCTTTTCTAAGAGTCTGACCTATTGAACACACGGCTAACATTGAACAAGACTTCTCTGTTGCTTTGTAAAAATGATCAAGAGGAGCAAATGAGTGTTTTGCTTGTCTAAAGTGGCTTCTAGATCTGTTGTGTTGTAAAAATCGCTTTGATGAACAAAACCAAGAAAATCATGCGTGAGAAAATCTCAGTAGAGATTCACACTAAATCGACATTGCATGTGATTGAGAAGAAGAAGAAGATTAGTAGAAGAAGAGAGCACCTAAGAGGAGAAAGAAATCTGTTATTTCACTGTTGAGGTCGGTGCAGTATAACTGCCTTTTATACAAGACCTCTCACACGAGTCACATGTGTGATGAGGGTAAAAAGACTAAAATTCCCATAACTATCTAGTAATACTACTGATTATTCAATACTCCCCCTTAAGCTGGAGGTTGGAATACATCCAACACTCCAAGCTTGGAAACTAAGGAATGATGTTGAGCTGCAGACAATCCTTTAGTGAGCAAATCTGCAAGTTGCATTGTTGAACTAATATGGTGTGGTGTGAGGAGCCCAGACTTGATCTTCTGTTTTACAAAGTGACAGTCTATTTCAATGTGTTTAGTCCGTTCATGGAAAATTGGATTCTCTGCAATTTGAATGGCTGCCTTGTTGTCACAAAACAACTGGACTGGTTTAGAAACTGTCATCTTCAATTCTTCTAGGAGCCCTGATAGCCAGGCAACTTCTGCTGTCACTGCTGTCATGCTTCTATTTTCTGTTTCTGCTGAACTTCTACTGACTGTTTGTTGCTTTTTTGATTTCCACGAGATTAAGGAGCTCCCTAACTTGACAGTATAACCTGTTACTGACCTCCTAGTATTGGGACAGGATGCCCAATCTGCATCACAGCAGGCAGTCAATGTGTCAACTGGCTTTGCTTGCAGAAGAACTCCTAAACCTGGTGCTCCCTTTATGTATTTAACAACCCTCAAAGCTGCATCCGTATGAGACTGTTTTGGATTTTGCATGAACTGACTCAATGTTTGTACTGCAAAACTAATGTCAGGTCGAGTAATTGTCAAATACAAGAGCTCCCCAATCAACCTCTGGTATGCAGTAATGTCCTTTAAGTCTGGGTCTCCTAACCTTCCCACATGAGCATCAAATTCTACTGTGGTGAGTTTTTCATTCATCTCTAGAGGTGTTGAAACAGGTTTGGAACCACTCATACCAACACTTGAGATCAACTCAAGTGCATACTTTCTCTGATTCAGTAGAATTCCCTTTTTTGATCTGAGCACCTCAATACCAAGGAAGTATCTTAGCTCACCCAAATCTTTCACCTTGAATTGACTCTGCAGTGTCCTTTTAGCATCATTAACTAGTTTGGAACTGCTCCCAATGATCAGCAGGTCATCCACATAAACAAGTATAATGACCAAATCTGAACCCTGCCTTTTACTGAATAATGAATGGTCATAATTGCTCTGCAGATGGCCATGTGTTACTAATGCCTCTGTTAGCTTAATGTTCCATTGTCTTGATGCCTGTTTCAGCCCATAGAGTGACTTCAGCAACCTACACACTTTCTTCTCCCCCTGCTTATGGAACCTTGTGGTAGTCACATATATACTTCTTCATATAAGTCCCCTTGTAAAAAAGCATTATTCACATCCATTTGATGCAAATCCCATCCTTTGGCTGCAGCAATACTAATGATGGTTCTAACAGTTACCATATTTGCTACTGGAGAGAATGTCTCATGGTAGTCCAATCCCTCTTTCTGATTGTAGCCCTTTGCTACTAACCTGGCCTTGAACCTTTCTATCTCTCCATTTGCTTTATGCTTTATTTTATAAACCCATTTTGACCCAATAGCCTGCTTTCCTGGTGGCAGGTCTACCAGTTCCCATGTGTTGTTCTCTTCTAGTGCAGCTATCTCCTGTTGCATTGCCTCAATCCACCTGTCATCCTGTGCAGCCTCCTTAAAGGAACTAGGCTCAATGTGTGCTGAGAAGGCCTTTAAGTATGATTGGTATCCTGTAGTGAGGTTAGCATATGAGAGTCCTTGAGAAATAGGATATAAGTTGTTTCTTGTGAATTTCCCTGGTGCCACATAGTCCTTCATCCATATAGGTGGTCTAGAAGTTCTTGCTGATTTTCTAACATTGATACCATTCATTGCTTCTTCTGCTGGTGAAGTTTCTTCAGTTTCCTCAACTATATCTGCAGCTAAGGAATCTGAACTCATGCTTATGTCTGTTTCTTCCTGATTCAGTGGTTGTAACTGATCTATACTCTCCTCATTCAATTCCTCATGCAAATGCTCTTGTGGTTCTGTGTGTGTGTGATATTTGGAGGTATATTTTCAGTTTGTGTAGAATGAGGCTGTGAAGAAGATTGTATAGGGATATCAGTAGGTGTTAATTCAGGAGGATCTTGTGGGAATATATCTTCTAAATCTGAAGCCATTCCTTTGAAAGGGAATACCTGTTCTCTAAACACAACATCTCTGCTTACTAGAAATGTTCTATTTTCCAAATCATATAGTCTGTAACCCTTTTGAGTCTCTGAATAGCCTATTAGAACAGCTCTCCTTGCTCTTGGTGCGAACTTGTCTCCTCTAGGTAGAGTGCTTGCAAAACATAAACATCCAAAGACCTTAAGATGGTCAATTCTTGTTGTCTTCTTATAGAGCATCTCATAAGGTGACCTTCCTGATAAAACAGAAGTTGGCTTATCAAGTAAACTGTTGTCTTAACACAGTCACCCTAGAATCTATTTGGCAATAAGCTCTGAAATTTCAATGCTCTGGCTACCTCTAGTATATGCTTGTGTTTTCTCTCTACCACCCCATTTTGTTGGGGTGTGTATGGACAACTGCTTTGATGCATTATCCCCAATGAACTCATAATTTCATTACACTTAGAATTAAAGAATTCAGTGCCATTGTCTGACCTTAATCTTCTTACATTCAGATTAAACTGGTTGTGTACCATAGCAAAACAAATCCTTTAGCACAGCAAACACTTCACACTTTGACTGCAACAAGCATATCCAAGTATATCTGCTAAAATCATCAACTGGTGTTACAAAGTAATGTTTCTTATCATATGTTGGTATCCTGTGAGGACCCCAAACATCTACATGCACTAATTGGAAAATCTGTTCTGTTTTATTGCTACTAGACTGGAATGGAAGTCTATTCTGCTTGTCCAAAGGACACACTTCACAGTTGTGTTGTGTCCTGGCATCTATCTTATTCTTTAGCAGAGGAATATGTTGCATTGCAACAGCTGAAGGATGACCCAGCCTGAGATGCCATAGTGCTGAATCTTCCTGCACTTGCACAATACTTCCTGCTATAGCTGGAAATTCCTTACTGATCTCCTTTTTCAACAAGTATAAGCCATTGTGTTCTTTACCAATCCCCAGAACCTTCCCACTGTAGAGACCCTGAAACACACAGAAATATGAGAAAAATGTAGCACAACATAATAGCTCCTTAGTCAGTTTAGACACTGACATTAGATTGAATTTAAAATCAGGCACATGTAGAACATCTTTCAGTATCAATTCATCTAACATCTTCACATTCCCTGTATGTTCCACATGGCATTTCCTCATGTAGGTACTTGTACAGCACTATTATTCTGATTTTCAATCTTTCTTATATTATCTAGTACTTCCTTATGAGGTGTAACATCATGTGAAGCACCAGTGTCAATTATCCAATCATAGTCAAATGCCTTGGACAAAAAAGAAGTTATACCTGTCATTAAGGTATGACATTCACCTGGTTCAGGATCTGGCTTGTTTAAAAGGCTCAGCAGTTGTTTGTACTGGTCTTCTGTGAAAAAATGCCCTTGCATCTGAGAATTGGTGTCAGAACTTCCTCCTTCTCCCGTTTGATACA